TAGGGAAGTTTGGGGGAAATGTGAGGGAAACCTGCAGTGGTGGGTGTGGGCATACGAAGGAGGGACCAGAAAGGTGGGTTTGGGCTGAGGGGACGCGTGGGGTGTTTGCTCATGGGGAGGAAGTGTGCTTAGCCTTTGAAAAGGCTGGGGGGGCCTGTTGGCTTCGAGTGGGAAAGTGTGGTGGAGGAGAGTCCTTCTGGAGATGTTTGGATTGAGGCTTTTTTTCATTCATCCAGACACAGCCTCTGTGTGCTCGGCCTCTCCCGTTGCTCTGCTCGCCTGGGGGCACCGACTTATCCCGGTCTCTCTCTCTTTCCCCAGGCTATAAAATCCCTGTCATTGAGAACTTGGGTGCCACTCTGGACCAGTTTGATGCAATTGATTTCTCTGACAATGAGATCCGTAAGCTGGATGGATTCCCTCTGTTAAGAAGGCTGAAAACTCTCCTGATGAATAACAACAGGATTTGGTAAGAGGTTGTACTTGGGTCAGATGGGACCCCGGGGCAGAGGAGAATGATGTCAGGAGCATGAGTGTGTCTTGCAGTGCTGGGTATCTCAGGGGATGCTGACCCAGACTTGCCAGTGCCACGCTGGGTTGTTTTACAGGGAGATCCCTCCTGTTATCACATTTCTGTGGGTTGTGTCAGCTTTGGTAATTTCTGGTCAAAGTTAAATCTTTGTCTTTTGTTCTTCTCTAGTCGGATTGGTGAAAACCTTGAACAGGCCCTGCCCAGCCTGACAGAGCTCATTCTTACCAACAACAACATTGCTGAATTGGTAAGGTATCAACACAGATAAAGCTAAACACCCTTAAATTTTGTGTTGTTCATCTTTCCCATTACCCTTTGTCCTGAGAGCAGTGTCATATGCTTTTGGTAATAGTTGCTTCTTTCTTTTTAGGGTAATATTGTATGGTTTTGGTAGTAGTTAATGGTGCAAATATTTTAATGAATGTAATTTTCAGTGTGCAATGGAAAAGGAGCCAGAAAGTCTCAGTGGGTTTCCTGTTAAACTAATTGCAGTAATTCTAATTGCTACCAATTAGTAATTCTAGTTAGTCTCTAAAATACAGGTCAAGAACTGGGTTTTCAAACTTTTGATTATTTTACTTAAATGGAGTTAAATTTTTTTACTGTTTTTCCATTATGCAGGGTGAACTGGATCCATTATCAACTATCAAAACACTGACCTACCTGAGGTATGTAACTGGAAAGAAAAGCTGCTCCTTCCCTGCAGTGTGAATCCTGCTGCCAGCCTGGCTGTTTGCTGGGGTCTGGAAGGAGCTGTGAAAGATTCTTTATGTCTAAAAAGTTGAATTGAGAAACAAACTTTCCACTGCACTTCAGAAATCCCCAAATCCCAGCATGGTGGGGTTGGAAGGGACCTCTGGGGATCATCTCATCCAGCCCCCCTGCTCCAGCAGCTCACCCACAGCAGGGTGCCCAGGGTCACAGCCAGGTGGGTTTGGGATCTCTCCAGAGCAGGAGACTCCACAACCTCTCTGGGCAGCTGCTCCAGGCTCTGCACCCTCACACCAAAGAAGTTTCTCCTCCTGCTCAGGTGGAACCTCCTGGGTTCCAGATTGTGCCTGTTGCCCCTTGTCCTGTCACTGGGCACCACTGAGCAGAGTCTAGCCCCAGCCTCTTGCCCTCCACTCTTTAGCTATTGATCACCATTGATAGATCCCCTCTGTGTCTTCTCTTCCCCAGTTAAACAGCCCCAGGGCTCTCAGCCTGACCTTGGCACAGAGATGCTCCAGGCCCCTTGGCATCTTCAGAGCCTCCACTGGACTCTCTCCAGTGGCTCCTCCTTTCTTGACCTAGAGCCGCCACTGGACGCTCTCCAGTGGCTCCTCATTTCTTGACCTAGGGAGCTTGGAACTGTACCCAGTACTCCAGAGGTGGCCTCACTAGGGCAGAGTAGAGGGGCAGGAGAACCTCTCTTGACCTGCTGGCCACACTCTATGCACCTCTAAGTAAATATCTGATAGATTAATAATGTTAATAAATACCTAGTATTTAATGGATGAGGCTTTATATTATTGACAGACTGTTGGACCAGTGAGATGTGACATCTTGATAACCCAACATGCAAGCATTAATGTAACCTTTACCTTTTAAAAACCTAAAGATTTAAACCATTATTATGAAATAGTTTAAAATACATTCGGTGAGAGGGAGGGGAAAAAAAAAAGGCAATTTGTCCTGTGATTTAGTCTTTTTTTTTCAGTTGATCAGTCTCCAGGTAGGAGATGTGATGGTTGAGCTACTTGGTGTTTTTTTTTCCTTTATATTTTGAGCTTGTTCTTTATGTTCTTCTTCAATAAAATGTACTAAATTGATAAAACAAAGTGCAAGGTTTTAGTGTAGTTTGCATAATATTGAAGAACATTGTCACTAGGTTTATTTGATAGTGTTATTTGCTGTCTGTTATAGCAGAAGGTACAGGAATGCATTTTAAACATATTAATGTATTTCAGGAGAAGTGTATTTGAAAATATTTTCTATTAAGAGCCTCTTTATAACTTTTAATTGATTTTGTAGCATTTTAATGTATTTCAGGAGAAGTCTGTTTTAAAATATTTTCTGTTAAGAACCTCTTTATAACCTTTTATTTACTTTGTAGCATTTTAAGCATATTCATGTATTTCAGTAGAAGTGTATTTTAAAATACTTTCTATTAAGAGCCTCTTTGTAACTTTTTATTGACTTTGTAGCATTTTAAGGAATCCTGTAACAAATAAGAAGCATTACAGATTGTATGTAATCCACAAAGTTCCCCAGGTCAGAGTGCTGGATTTTCAAAAAGTAAAACTCAAAGTAAGTCTCCTTTCTTTTGATTGAACACAAGCTGAATTTGATTTTTATTTTCTTGTTACATTCTTGACAATTTCACAGTCACAGTCAAATCTTTGCTGTGGTTGTACATTTTATTGAAACTGTATCATAAGTGGATCTAAAAAAAACCACTTTGTTTTATTCTCTTAAGGATGCAGTATGTTTAATGATATTTAATTAAGTTTTACTGCCTTTATTTGTTAGTCTGATTCTTTTTTGGCCTTCTGGTGCTGGTAGAAAAACAGAATTTTAGAGAAAAGAATGGGCAACCTTCTGCTTCCAGGAGAGACAAGCGTGGGAGATGGTTCATACCTTTAAGAGCAATAGTTGGAGGACTCTGAGTGTTTGGGAACGTTCATGTGCTTGTTCTTCCACCTGGTCTCCACGTGCCAATGTTGACTGATGCAGAAGAGCCGACGTGGCTTTCTTTGCAAAGACAGAAGCTTTGCAAATTGTGCTGTTCTTCAATTAACTCTGTGTGTGTGGTATCGCTGTAGGAGCGACAGGAGGCAGAGAAAATGTTCAAGGGCAAACGGGGTGCACAGCTTGCAAAGGATATTGCCAGGAGAACAAAAACGTAAGATAAAAACAATTTCCACTGGCATTCTCCTTCAGAAACACCACTTTTTTTTTTTTTTTTTTTTTTTTTTGGGTTGTCTGAATTGGGCAGTGAATGAAATACCAGCTGCTGGCAGGATGCCTTAAAAGCTTTGGTAGCCAGAAGTGCCTTGTCCAAGCATCCTGATTTTTTGGATGGTGGTGAATACATCTCAGAAATGGTTTTGAATGAGGTCTTTGGTCAGGGTGGATTGATTTAAGTGAACAAGCAGGAAACCTTAATTTGATTTTTTTTTTTTTTGTTGTTTTCATTATTTAGCTGCAGAGAGGTGGCTGTTGTTGGTGATTTTTTTTCCTAGATGATCAGTAACTGCAATATTTTGTTTTGCCAGGAAATACAGACTATAAAATCCACTGTAGTTAGGAGGCTAAATGCAGGTGAAAATCTTTAGCTGACTTATTACAAATACATGTTTATTTAGTTGAATTTTCAAGTGGTACATCATATGTTTTGTTTCATCTGAGAACAGAATCATAGAATTGTTTAGGTTGGAAAAAACCTTTAATATCATTGATCACCAACCATGAATCTAATTTGGAAATCAGAATTAAGATCATGTATGACCACACTATTTCCAAATTCATAGCTAAATACCTCGAATATAGTTAGCATTTAAAACTATAAAGATGGACTCTAGCTCTAGTTTGTGACTGAAAAGGGGTTTGGGTCTGTGAGAGAACAAGTAGGGGATTGAATTAAATATTAGCTGAATAAACAGATACAGTGAAAATCTTTTGATAGCTGCAAAAATGTGTGCAGCACTGATGCTGGGTCAGTAAGACAGGAAAATCTTTCCAGATGATTAAGTTGGTAACATCCATTTTCACAGACTACAGTTCATCTTTTTTCTTAAAGCAGCAGCAGATAACCTTTTTCTTGCAAGTGTTAAGATCACACCAGCCTAGTATAGACTTTAATACAGACTGCTGCATTATATTAGACATATAAGAATAGAAAAGGCAATTTAGCTTACTTTTTAATTATCCACCTTGCTTTTGTAATGGCGACAGACCACCTGAGCGTTCAACAACATCCAAATCAAACAGCTTTTGCCACAAAAAGCCTTGATTCCTGAAGTTCAGGTCTGCCTCCCCTTATGAGGAGATGAAAAGCTGGTGGGGGGCAGTGGGGACAAGTTGCTGGTGTTTCTGAAGGAGGCAATTCTTCACTGTATCAGTTTGTTAACAAAGATAAGATACTACACTTGATTGAATGAAACCCTTCCAAACCTAGTTTGGAAGGTAGAGAAGCATGAGCTCTTCAGAGTCTAACCAGTCTGGATGGTTTTTTTTTTTCCTTTGAAGCTTCAACCCAGGTGCTGGGCTGCCAACTGACAAAAAGAAAGCTGGGCCCTCCCCAGGGGACGTCGAGGCAATTAAGGTGAATATGTCAGGAGAGCAGTGGTGGATCCACACTGAACACTGTTCCTTCTTCCTGGCAGCCCTGGACTCTGTTGGGACCAATGGAACAGTGTGCCCTAAATTTGATTTTAGGGTCTTTTTCTGTAATTTTTCTTCTGATCTGACATATGTGGGTTTGGGGAACTTAAACAAGCTCAGACCAAAAGAAAAAGATCAAAAAAATATTTGAGCTCAGACCTCAGACATTTAATTTAATAAGGGCAGGGCAAATAAGATTTGCTTTGTTATTTTTTAGACCTTCTAAACAATCTAATATTGTAGAACTTTCTATAGAGCTTAGTGTCACTTCACTGGAAAAAAATCTTGGCTTTATGTTTACTGTAAAGAGACGGAGGTACTCTGTGTGAAGACTGATCATGTTCCTTTGTCTTTTTTAGACTGCTATAGCAAATGCCACAACTTTGGCTGAAGTGGAGCGGCTGAAAGGCATGCTGCAGGCTGGCCAGATTCCTGGAAGAGAACGAAAATCAGGTCACTCTCTTACTTTATTTCCCCAGTAGAACTACCTCTTCTGATTGCTTGAGGTGTTCTCAGTAGGGAGTTACATTGGATGGGGCCAAACAGGAGTTGGAAAAACGTTTAAACCAAGCATAATTATTGTTAGTGCCTGGGGCTGGGGTTCAGGGGTGTCTCAGAGAGGTCTCTGTGTGGAGGAAGCTGACCCGGGCTGGAGGTGTTGCCGTGGTGGGATTTGAGTTCCCGTTACTACTGCCCCTCGTCGGGGCGCTGAGAGTTAACATGGTCCCCGTGGGGCGGAAAGCAAAGCTGACATTGCTCCGACGTCTCCTTTCAGGCCCCTCGGAGGACGCCGAGGAAGAGATGGAAGAGGACTCGGTTCCCAACGGCTCCTAGGCGCGGGCCGGGCCGGGGCCCGTCTCTCCTGCCCGGGGCGCTGTGCTGCGGGCGCGCCGCGGG